ACGAGAGAAAGGGGAAGCTGATAGCAGTAGCGATTCTGTTCCCTGCCATACCGTATGATCCATCCGCTCCTTAAACATCAAATAATCTGGTGCTGAGGGGAGAGCAGCCATGACAATGCTGTGGCCTCTGTGTCTAACAAGTGCTGACCCTAATGTTGAGAAGGTGGGCAGACTCCATGGTCTGCCGCGCTGAAAGCTATGGTGCCAGAAGTTGTGGTGCCAGACTAGCTTTCACTGGTGTCCGGGAGGGGCCAACCTCCTAACTAAAGAGGAAGGTTTCCTTCGTGCTGCTCTCAATGCCTGTCACTTTGATGCTGAGCCTTCGACACCACAGCGAGGATGAATTTTGGTGGGAACTCCATGGGGTTGTGAAGGCTTGAAGGAAAAGCAGCACAAGGATGAGAGCCTGACTTTGGAGATCATTGTGGGTCTACCTGTGTGGCACCCCACTGCTTGTTTCTTCTCTAATTATGGTCTTTTGCTAGAGTTTGCCGGCTGAGGAGACAGGGCTGAAGGTGAAGTGCTGTGAGTCAGCGAGCTAGTGGGGTTTGTGGGAAGGTGATCTGGGATTTTGATTCCAGCCTTATAAACTAGCTCATGACACATATCTGCAGTTGAGCCTAAACTACCTAAGTATACTAGACTATACTAACTATACAATACAAAACAGGGGCTGATGCAGTGTACAGCTACAAAAGGTGAGCCTCTATAGACAGTGGGCCACTCCAAGCCTGGAGGTGCTGAGAGGAAATGAGTGGCAGTTGATGTGCCCTGCCCTTTCATATCCTCAACATGGCGTACAAGGCATAGGCACTGCATACCCACTGCTGCTCAAAGTCTGTAACTCTAGTTTATGGGACACACACTCTCACTAGTGAATTGCAAATATGGACAATCTCTCGAAGGAGAGTGTGTGATCATATAGGTTAGCTATGTGCATAACTGGCAGGCTGAGCAAAATATATAATTATATGGAAATCAACAATCAACCATTCCCATTGGCCACCTTCTTACAAGGGACATTTCTCCAAGAAATATGGTTAGTGATCCAGTGTCACTCCTCCCTCTGAATTTGAGCTGATCCATTACCTCAGCCCGGTGGGAGGGGAGCACTGAGTCACTCAAGGTTCCACTGCTCGGATGTGAGGTGAAACTGAGGTTTGGGCCACATCTCATCATTAAATACCTTGTTTGTACCTTTAACAAAAGTAGAAATATGGCTGATTGCACTGTTTCTCCTAACTAAACTCCAGCTTGGAAAACTACATTGCACCTAGCAATATTCCCTCCAGCTGGCTAGAGTATTTTTGCTTCCTATTCTAAAGTGCTCTTCTGTGTTGTTAAACAGTTGTTATAACTCATTCCCCACGGGACTCTCTTTATTACAGGATGAAGTGATTGATGTGTAGTCCAGGTTTTGGTATGTAAAGTATTTTGGGATGAAAGGCTATAAAGAAATGTCATGCATTCTTATTGTTCACAATATAATAAACAACACAGCAGTACTACAAAACATGTGGTAAGATGGTTTTTGATTAAAAGGTTTCAGCAGTGAGTGGGAGAAAAGAAGTGATAGTTGCAACTGATCTGCACAAATATATATACTTGGGAAAGTGAGTTAATTTATCTGACCAACACCAATCAGGGATGAGCAGAAAGCAATGTAAAATATTGCCTGGGTAAAGTGAATCTGACCTGAATTCAGAATACAAATTTTCAAAAAAAAAAGAATATGGTTCAGGCTTGAAGAGGTATCAAAATCCAAAGCTATTTCCAGGGAGCTCAATTGGTTTCAAAATGCCCAACACTCTTCACAAAAAAGTAGTGTCTGTCCAGAATAGTTAAACTGCCTGCCTCCCTCACCCTGTAACTGACACATATTCTTTAATGCAGAGTTGATATCAGATGTGAGTGGGGGTGGGGAACATGGCTCCCAGCGGGTGAAAGCTGAATCGAAAAGCCATCCTTTTGCATTTCAGTAAACTCAGCCAGGGAATGACTGTGATTCAAAGCCTTTCCTCTCCCTACCACCACCCCGCAAGCCCTAAAGCTACTGTTCAGCTTTGTGGCAAGCTGCTTGCTGGAATGCTGCATGCTCCATTTAATAAAAAAATAAATCCTGCCACCATCCACCTTGCTTTAACACCCGCCCACTTGGAAAATCTGAAAGCAGCATTTCTCCTCAGAGACTGCTAATGCTATTAATTCTCCTACCGTAACAATCTATGCTAAATGCAACAGCCAGATTTTGGCAGGCTACTGGGCTATAGCACATTTTATTCCACTTCCCATAGATAACATTTCAGTGTCTGTCTCCCATCGCTAAAAATAAAAAAGCCTGATTCAATGGTCTGTTACTCTGGTTTTAACCAGTGAAACTTCTCTGACTTTCACCTGCGTCAAACTGGAGTAACACACAGTGATGAATCAGCCCCCTTGCTCCAAAAAACACCTTGTGACCATGTGAGAGAGACAGTCACTTCTAAATACATTGTCTTGTAGCTATTGGGTCCCAACACAAATTCCTGGCTAAGAATTTTTAATTATCACTATAAAGTATTCACCATTGATTTATTTACCTATCCAAGATTTATTTCCTGTTTTTAAAGGTGCTTTTAAGGTGCTAGGATTTCCCCCAAAGCATAGTGGTGTGTCAGTTGAAAAGTGTAACAAACTCAGATCTTGGAGAATTGTACATCACAGCGTTTCTATGCTAGCCGCTGATACATGGTAGGAAGAAACAGGGCAGGGCTGATTCTCAGTTACACTAATGTCCTCTTATTGCACTCTGGTACCAAAATGGGCAGGGGGGAATATAGACCCCCTGAGATTAATGCAAGGGGGGGCTTCCCAGCCATTCAAGAGCTGTTTTAAAGAGTTTACACTAGCTGCCTCCTGCCCCACAGTACAGAGGCCCTATTGGAGCTGAGAGTATGAGGGAGGAGGCAGGCAAGCATTAGCGAGGGAGTGTGGCTGCAGTATACTGTATTCAGCTATCCCCTGCTTTCCAGGGGCCACAAGGGGCACTGGAAGCAGAGTATGAATTGGAGCAGCTTTAAGGCTGCTCTGAACTTACACTAGGAAACCAGGCAGACCTCTGGATGACCCCAGAATAGAGCGAGCAAAAGGTGGCTTAAATACCACCTTTGACATGCTCACTCTGCTCCCTGAATCTTGGCAAGTGAGAGAATCCCCAAAAGAGGGCACTTAAACTCCATCAGAGAGGCATTGCAGAAAATATTTGGTGTCCACTGGTGGGGAAAAGTAACTAATGGTGAAGTTGCAAAGGACAGGCTAACAGACTGTAGAAGCAAAGTGAATTGGGCATGTTGTATGGATGCCAAAGAAATGTATTCCTACACAAGGCTTTGGTGAAAGAGGGAAGAGAAGACAACAGATGACATGAAAGAAAATCATTGGAATGTTGCTGTCATGGAAACAGATTTGCCATGAAACAAGAAACATGGCTTTAGACAGATGGATGTAAAAACACTTCCTCAGAAGGCCCAACAGCATCTAATGTTGTCTTCCCAATCCATTCCTGACCACAGTTCAGGAAGACAGGAACTGCAAGCGTGTGTGGATCACCTACTTTAAGCTGATGACACTATTAGCACTTAGTTGGAAACAGGATACTTCACCCACTCACCATCTGAGGAGAGAAAAAATGTAAAAAAGGCTTGAATGTGACAGCTCCTGCAGTCCTTAAAGTCTGAGTGTCATCAGTCCTAGAAAACATGCTGACATTTACATTTAACTTGGAAGGACAAATTGTGTCCTGAGCTACAGCTTGCAATGTATAGTGTAATCAATGGAAGTTGTGCAGGAAAATCTAGGAGCAAAGCAGAATTTGGCCTGGAAAGCCATGTTTCCAGCAAGAGACTACAATATTTGCAAATGCACAATGCAAACTAAAACCAAAATATGTAGATGAAATACAATAGTGTAGAGACAGATGAATCTATTCCAAAGGCTTAGTTAATTCAAAAGGTAACCAAGACATGAGCCAGCACTGTAATATTCTGTTTCCATCCACACCTTATGGTTGAGACAAGATCTAAGGAGGTCATGGTGTAATAGGAAAGATCTTATTCCCAACCTCAGCCACTGCTGGGAGTGAAACACATTCTTGTTTGAAGGAATATAAAAAAAAATAAGTAAGTTAGGGGTCTGTTTGCACTGAGGAGGTTTCTGTCTTACCTGATTGGAAGTGCTACTGAGCCTCTTAATTCTATTCCAGAACGGATCCCTTTGTCTAGCCAAAATGAATTAGCTGTAGCTGTTTAAAAGCAGTGTCATGTAGTTAAAAAAGCTTCTGTGATGAGTTTCATCACTGAATGCCTGGTTCTCAAATACACCAAATAACTGGGCCTTAATATGTATTTAAATAGCAGTACAAAAGGGTCTTAGTTTAAATGAGAATCAGATGCTACATTATCAGATTTGCCGGTCTGAGGGCCAATCCTCAAAGGTACTTAGGCATTCCATTGAAATTGTGAATTTGGCACCTAAGGTACCTTTGGGGACCTTGACTTGAGTTTTCTCTCCCATAGCACCAGTAAAACTTGCGGGGGGGTAGTGTCTTTGAAATCAATGGTGTTACTCTGGTATGAGTGAGAAGAGAATCAGGCTAATAGTGTTTAGAAACAAACCCCTTGTAATAAGGGGTTTAAAAGGCTTTCAGAAAATCCAGTGTGAGCTGAAATTTGACATGTGGAATATCAGTTGGGAGCACTTCCATTCATTAGAAAATTGGCCTGAGCAGCCTGTGTTATGATTTGGGTGACCTAGGACTAAAGTTTGCTGAAAGAAGCGAGTACCCCTTTTTGCATGTAGTTAAGAACTGACCCACACAACAAGTTCCCCAGAAAGCCGCAAGTGAAAACAGTGCTCCTCATAGTGAATAGGGACTGCACAATCTAGCCTTAAGTACATAATACAAGGTAAAGCCAGCAATTAGGGCTGCTAATACCACAATGACTTTTCTTTCACAGGCACAGGGCCTGCTCTTGCTTCTAGTGGCAGAACAGCCATTGACCTCAATGAAGGCAGAACTGGACTCTACTAAGGAACGTCCTTGCTGGAGAGAGAGGAGACAGACCTTTGAAAGGAAAGTTGAAGAGGGTTTGGACTGCTGGCTCATCAGCAAAGTTCCATGTAATTATTGCTTAAATATTTACTAATGGGCAAAAAACACATACAAGCAGAAATCAGTCAGAGACAAAACAACCACTGGAGATAGATAGGTTCCACCATTCCCTGAGCCTCTATCTATTTTAGTAGACTGTGCTGGAATTTATAATGGCTCCCCAAACACCTAGTAAGAGCCTGTCTGGGGAATCACAGGGCTCACTACTCCCAGGCTTTCAAATTAAAAAGGCCCTAATACTTTAATCAGCATCATCAGATGTATTGTCTGCCTGATACACAGGAGAGGAAGGCTTTACACTTTCATTGTGGCCTGTGGCTTTTTTCAGGGATTAAAGAAATAAGCCCATTCAAATGACAGGTAATGTTTTCCAAACAGCCATTTTCTATCTTTCATGAGGAGCACCAGGAGGGCCTCCTGTTGAACTCAACCTCACACCAGGCCACCTATTAATATTTGCTGTTTGTGCTGGCACTGTGTATTAATCTGTAGTTTTCTCCAAGGAAAAGGGATGTCAGCTGTTTGGACACAAAGGTAGGTTAGCTCTCCATGCAAGAGCAAAATTGGAGATGGAAATGAGCTCCATTAAAGTACTGCCGTTCTGTTTCCCTAATGAAGCAGAACTCTTGCACTGAGCTACTCCGAAAGCACTGTAATCAAGTATGTTTCTTACAATGCCTGGGTTATATAGAGCCCCATGTTCAGCAAGGTAATTATCAGCTGCCATGGCTTAGAAGTGCTACTTTCCCTTCTACTTTTTGCTCGCTTGTCAGCTGGTTGGAAGGAAAATTACAAAGCCTAACTTTTGTAAGAAATGTTTGTAGAAAAGGACAAGGAAGGTACTGAACCTCTGTTAATGGACGTCTGCAAGAAGAGGTCTCCTTCCGGGGCTGTAGGAGGTCTCTTTATTGTACTGTCTGCTTCAAAAGACTAGTAAAGCAAAGCTGGAGTTCCATTTTTAAATGACTGGACAACTTAGAAATTGCTTCTTAAGAACATTCAGGAAGAAATGAATTACAATATTGAAGAGCTTTGTGTGCTATAAGAATATTGTCTCTATGATGGAAAGGCAAGTGCTGATGTTGAAATGAGAGACACAAGAGATTGGCAGAAAAGGACAAGGAAGAGGAAGGGAAGTTGGGTTGATGCTCAGCACTCCAGGTGAAATTCTGATCCTCCTGAAGTCAATCAGAGTTTTTCCCTTAACTTTAGCAGAGCTAGTATTTCATATTTTGTCTGTGGGAAGCAAGTACTTGCCCAGAGTTTGCGTTACACCTGTGAACATTTTGTATTTTTTTAAAGTCAGTAAAGCCATTTTGTATATTTAGATAGGTGAAGTCTAACGAGCTACTTAAACAGCAGAAGCTGAACACTGTGCAAATAACAAACATGTCTAATAGGCTTCCTATCTCACAGCAGTAATCAAGATCGTGAATCCAGCACCCTTGTACAGAAGCATGACAGACACACTGGATGCTGGTGAGTGCTTCTAGGAACAGTGTACCTTGCATTGATACTAAAGTTTGTTTTCTAATTTTATTCCATCTCAATGTGTGAAAAATGCCAGAGGGAAGAGTTCTTTTTGGAAACTTCCATGCAAGCATGGAGCCCTTGATGAAAAAGTCTTTGATGTGCCCTGACAGTCAATGAGCGTGATTTATCCCCCTGTTTGTGCATAGCACATCTTACACAAACACACAGAAAAGAAAAAGAAAATATATGACGGACAAAGCGAAGAGAACTGCACAGAGCAAATTGTTCCAGAATGATGAGATACATATGTCCTAAGAGAGCACCAAAAGCTTGATTGAAAAGAATTTGACTTTTATTTGATTACTTAAGCAGATGTAACAGAAGGAAGATCACTAGGCAAACTGTTCTCAAGATGTGACTGGTAAATACTGAAAGATTTGTTCCAAATCCCATGGATATGAACACCAGCAGTGCACAGAGAGACTCTTCGCCTTACGTAGCTAGAAAAAGCAGGCCACAAAGGTATGCAGGCTGTAGAGTATTTAAAAGCTTTTAAGTCTGCCAGACAGGATTTCAAAGTCAGTCCACTGATTTAAATGGAGCCAGTCCCTAAGGAAACAGATTTTTGGAGGTTAGGAAAAAACTAAAAAATAGCTGATAGCAGCACTCTGCACAAGATAAACGAGTGACAAAACTAATCTAGGCACACGTAAGGCTAGTGCAATCCAAGAGGATTCCATGCTCACACCAGCACAAACCTTAACTACAAGATCCTTGACCTCATGCCTCAGTTAAAGTGGCAAAATGAATATAACTACTGGCACAGGGCCTTCGTGGCTCAGGGAATGGGCAGATACGAAGCAATATTCCCTGTGCACTTGTGCGGCCACTCAGGAAACATACAAATGCCATCCAGCTGATTAGCACAGTGTACACAGCTAAGTATTGGTGGTGCACATTCTCACATGCCTCAGTGCACGTAGAAAAATTATTCCACATATGGATGGGAAAAAATCTGCACATGGATGGAAAAGATTAGAGGAAACACTGATATGGAGTGTTTCACTGCTAAATCAGGGACCTCCAACATCATACCGGACAATGCTAGATGGGAAATAGGCAGTCTGTCAAAACTGACATGTGCACATATACAGATGTAGGGGCTCTTGAATGAGAAGGAGTTGAAAATAAAGGGAAATGAAGCAGCTCACAAGACAATCTTCAAGACTTACTAAGGACACTGATGTTCTGCTTGGCAAAAGCAGTAATGAAAACTTGTAGAGCTATGCAGGCCACAGTATTTGAGAGAGATTCATCTGTCTGTGACAATGATACTTGGCTCTGATGTGTCTTCATGGTCTTCTCATAAAGGTACTGTCTAAGTCATCACCTCAGATCCCATCCAGCCCAGGTCAGTATGGGCCATCAGTTATTATAACATGAGTCTTTTCTGAGCTGCTTAAATCCAATAGAGTTCTGATCCATATTAACCTTGATATGTAGATGGAAATCACATATAGCTCTGATCGGAACTGTAAACCCCGTACCAGCAAAGAAAGGGTTAAAAAGCTGTGTCAGGCTCAAGAAGCCCCACCCTGCTGCATATGCATGGGTGGATGGAGGGTTTAAAAGGAAAGAAACCATCTCAGTTGACAGCTGGGATACATGGGGGAGCAGATAAGAAAGTGTTGAAGATGCTTTACAGAGCCTTAATAAGCTCAAATGCATAGTGTGGGTGTCAAGCCTTTAGTTCTGCAACCATATCACACAAATTATAGTCAATTCAAGCTCAAGTGCTATGAACTGAATGTGGTGCATTTCTTGCGACATTGCTATGGGTAATACAGGTAGCTACTGGAGAAATGCCTGTCAGTTTAATAATGAAAATGTTAGATCTGATGTTTTAGGCAAAAGTCAAGGGAAATCACAGCAATAAAAACACTGGACAAATATATGGAGAGTGTTAGAAATTAAGTGGATGAAATGTGGTTGGAAATAGTAAGAAGAGATTAAAATCTATAGTTGTGTGGCAGTAAATTATACATGGAAAATAGTCTCTCTGGATGTGGATTTAGAATTATGTATTGAACGGAAAGAAAGAGATGGCCTATATGACACATAAAATGTATGAGTATATGTAGGTAATTGGAATCACCATGGATGTATATATACTGATGGAACTCCAGATGAAAAAACAGCAGGGATGGCAGAAGCCTTTTGCATCCTTGAAATTGGAGTTAAGAAAATTAAAAGAATATCTAATTTTATAACCATTGTGACAGCTGAATTAATAGGACTAATATTATCAGTAAACTGGATAAAGGATGCATAGCCTACCTAAGCTGTTATTTTTTCAGCTTCATTATCAAATATACTGGCGATTAAAAAGGGTACTTCAGAAGCAGCAGTGATCTAATCAATGAAATATTGTTTCTGACAGTAGAACTAGTATGCTTCGGTGTGAACACATTACTAGCATGGATTCCAGCTCATGTCGGGATACCTGGCAGTGAGATGGCAGATAAGGAAGCAAAAAAATTATTTTAAAATTGAGAAATTAATAGACAGAGTCCTTTAAGTAAGCAGGAATTTTAACGTTTAGTTTTAAAGAGATTTTAAAAGGAAAGGCTCGGCCTTGCAGACCAAGGAGAAAGAACATTCTCTGAAGTATGCCCCAGACTAGAGGAGAATGAATTACTTCAGAGTCGTGAAAGAATCAGGGAAATAGCCCATATTTAGATTGTTATCTGGTCACTATAGTTTGACTAATAATAATTTATATTTATTGAATAGACTAATAGATGTGTGATGGCACATATGTACGGCTTAACAAACAGTTGATCGCCTGCTATGGGAATTCAGTGATTGATCCCTGGAAAAACGGGCTCTTTATGAAGAATTCAGATGCTTTCAGGTGACAGAATATACTATGAGGCTACATCTACACTGCAAGGGTTTTGCACTAAAACCCGTAGAGCGTCCACACCTCAAATGCGTTTTTGAACACGTAAATCAACAGTAAAACAGCAGAAGAGAGGGCTTTTTCTGGCGTAGGTAAACCTCCTTTTACAATAGTAATAGAGATGTAGCCGTGTTAGTCTGGTCTAGCTGAAACAAAAAACAGGACTATGTAGCACATTAAAGACTAACAAGATGGTTTATTAGGTGATGAGCTTTCGTGGGCCAGACCCACTTCCTCAGATCAAACTGAGGAAGTGGGTCTGGCCCACAAAAGCCCATCACCTAATAAACCATCTTGTTAGTCTTTAAAGTGCTAAATAGTCCTGTTTTTTGTTTCTCCTTTTACGAGGCATAACTCCTTTTTGCGCTACAGCTATTGCTCAAAAAGGCAAGTGTGGACGCTCCGCAGGGGTTTCTTGTGCAAGAAACCCATATAGGAAAAAGGTGCTCTGATGGCCATTCTGTTCCCTATTCCAGGGCTAGGGAACATAGCTCCCGCTCAGGGATGGCACCCTAGAACTGCCCATATTTCTCACTGCTCCACCACATTCTGGGGGATGGGTCAGTCCCTTCACCCCCCAGGCATCAGACAAAGCCAGGAAAGGCCCATCAGGTGAGTGCCATTTCTTTCACCACATACACACAAACATACCCAGGTGGAGGTGGTGGGTGGTGAGGCACTAGGGCATGCTCCTTGGTTGGCCTTCTCAGCTTGGGCATTGTACAGTAGCTGGTGCATGTGGGTGTGCATGGAGCATCAGTCCAGGGCACACAGGCCCATGAGGCTGCTACAGAGGACCCTTGTGCTCTTGCTCACAGGGTCTGGGTGGCACACCCTCCCACAACAAGCCATCACTAGGAGTCTGGGGACATGGAGACACACACACACACACTCTCCTTCACGAGTGCTATACATGGCACATGGGCATGCCCACACACTTGGGGCAGCACCCACTCCCAGAAACAGAGTGATGAGTCACAGAAGCATCTGTCACTCACAGACACCTCCACCTAACACCCTGCCCCACTCCCCTCCAGCAGGAAGGGATACAAGTCCTCTCCCTGTGGGGTGCATCCACTGCCAGACTTAGTGTTTGCACAGCACACAGGGAAGCCTAGCCACCCCATGACCCCCACCCGCCCGCAGGCTCCCCGTCTGGCCAGTGCCTTCCCTTGACTGCTTGTTCCTGGGACATGGGGGTAATAAGGCTCCCCCCTGGACATCTGTGCCCCAGTAGGAAAGCTCCCATTGTCTAGGCCACAGATGGCCTTGCTCCAAGTGCACTGCCTTTGTCTAACCCAAGAACTGTCAGTCTTGGCTTAGAGATGAGGGCAAGGCTTCAGGCACAGCATCTCCAGGGATGCCTGACCTTCTCTTTGTTCTACACAGCTGGACCAGTGGTGAGAGGGGTGTGGTCAACACCTCCCCTGGCTGCCTCCCGACCTCGCGTGACCCACTGGCACAGGAGACCACACGAGGACCTCCAGAGGGACCATATTGCCACCCTGCAAGCCCTGCAGTGCTGCATGGACCAGCAGGACTGCAGAATGGAGGAGGGCCTGCAGCTGAGCCATGAGACCTGACAGGAGATGAGGGAGCAGGCCTGATCATCTGCGCTACTGTCAGTGATCACCACCTTGGTGCCCACTCCTGCTGCCGTTCCTGAGCCAGCTCCTTCCTCAGCTCCTGCTCCTCCTACTTCTCCCCCTCCTGTGGCCACTGAGGGCCCTGCATCCGAGTTGGTGGGACCACCAGAGCCAAGTGCCAATCCCAGCCCCAGCCCTGAACCTCTCCTCCCCAGTCAACTCCTTCCTCCCCCCTCCAAGGTTCTTTCCTCAGTCCCTCCCCAGTTACATTTACTGCAATTAAAAGAAAGGTTTTTTTTGAAAACAGCGTAGTTTATTGTCCGTGCAGTGGAGGGGGGAAGGAAAGGGTGTGGAAGGAAAGGCAAAGAGGGGCAATGCACAGGCCCCTTGTGGGGAAGCCCAGGGGAGAGTGTTACTGTGGTCCTTGTGTGCAACTCTCCCTCCGGGCTTCCTGGATGCACACAGCCCCCCAATGGGCCTGCCGGATGGCAGCCATGCACGGCTGCTCAAAGGCCCTGCCAATCTGGTCCCCCTCCACCACCCACCATGGGAGGAACATCTCCCCCTTGCTTTCACAAATATTGTGAAGGACACAATATGCTGCCACCACTTGGGGGATGTTCCGCTCCCCAACATCCAGGTAGCTGAGGAGGCAACAGACCCTTCCCTCGAGATGCCGAAAAGCATCCTCCACAACAACGCAGGCCCTGCTGAGCCTGGCATTGAAGCATTCCTTTCTCTGGCCCAGGTGTCCAGTGTAGGGATTCATGAGCAAAGGGAGCAGAGGGTAGGCTGCGTCCCCCACAATACATACTGACATGTCCATGACCCGAACCCTGATGATGTGGTCAGGGGAAAAAGTGCCAGAATGCAGCTTCTGGAAGAGGCTGGAGTTGCTGAAGACACGGGCATCATGCGCATTCCCTGACCACCCAACATAGATGTTCGTGAACTGCCCGCAGCAGTCCATGATAACCTGCAGGACCATTTAAAAGTACCCCTTCTAGTTAATGTACTCAGCTGCCCAATGGTCAGGGACCCAGATGGGGATGTGGGTGCCATCAATAGCCCTCCCGCAGTTGGGGAAGCCCATGGCAGCAAAGTTGGCTATGGAGTCCACGTCACCCAGGTTGATGACCCTGTGCAGCAGGATGGTGTTTATGGCCACACCACCTGTAAAAGGAGACAAACAAGCAAACAGAGAATCACAGGGATGCCAGGGCCCTTGAGAGTTTCCAATCCCACCCAGCCCTTCCACACACCATGAGCAACCCCCCACTTACCTCACCTCCCATTAGGGCTTCGTGAAGATGGGAATGAAAAACCTCCCGGGGAGGGGCCTTCCACCACCATCACTTCCCCTTCCCTAGAGAACCCCATTCCAGCAGTTCTCCTCCCTCCTGGGTCAATAGCCTCAGAGCACTTGCATAAGCACAGCCCCAACAATTGATTTCCTCATGCTGAACTAGTTCCCAATGGATCGGTAGCTGTCCTGCGTGCTGAGCTTCCAGATGGCAATGGCTACCTGCTTTGGAGGGGGGTGATGGGTCTCAGATGGCTGTCCTGTTGCATGAGGGTGGGGTGAGCCACTCACACAGCTCTAGGAAGGTGGCTTTTCTCATGTGGAAATTTTGGAGCCACTGCTGGTCCCACCGCTCCATAATGATCTGGTCTCAGCATTTGGAACTGGTGTCCAGATGGCAGAATCAGTGGTGCACGGTGTGCAGGGGAGGGCAGGTGGGGTCATACTGCATGACCAGTGTCCACAAAGAGATGAGAAAGTTCCCCGCAGTGATCTAGGGGTTGTGTTCCTACAGGGCCTGGAAGGCAGCCCTCAGAATGTGCTGCAGGTGATACAGCACAGCCTGTAAGAGCCATCAACGGCTCGGAGGCAGGTCCAGACCCATGGCTAGAGAACTGAGGTGTCTGCAAGAACAACCACAGCAGGCAGTAAAAAGGCTTTGCTGTCCCTCAAAGAGGTAGGCAAAGGTGAAGAACCTGAGACATGGTTGTACACGGGGTCCCTTTAAGCTCGAGCCTCAGATAGCCTTAGGCAGTAGCTTCAGGAAGTAACTGCTGTCCTGATACCCTGTCTGAAGTGCTTCTGGATGGCCTTAAATGTGATTCAGCATCCAATGAGCATGGACGTTCTATTTTAAAATAGCTCAGTGCTATTTCAATGGGCATTTGCTGTGTATATGCATTTTTTCAAAATTAGCTATTTCAGAGTATTTCTTCTGGTATAGCTTATTCCAAAATAAGTGTGCAGTTTAGACATACCCACACAGAACTAGGCTCAAGAAAACCAGTAACATTAAATGTGCTCATTAATTAAGCTCATATAATCACAACTTGATCCATACTATCAAGGCAGGGAAGCCCCAAAACCTATGCCCTGTATCTCATTTATGCTTGCTTCTTGTTTAGTAAACTCCATTTAAATCTTCACATGACTATTTTCTTCAAAGGAAAGTGCCTGTACCCTGTTTCACATAAATACATATCAGTGGTCCAGCAATCCTACAATAAATGTGAGAATCTTCCAGATAATGGTATGGTAAACATGCAATTTCGATTTCAACTTTCCAAGAAGCTGACAATGAGATGACAATGAGGAGGAAACAGATTTTAAACATGCTGAAAATTACTAGGGATGAACAAATAATTTCAGATACAATTCTTCCTTCAAAACTCAAATAGAGCCAAAACACTGAGCACTCTCTGAAACAAAGGAACAGTTACAATATCTATTAAATTTAAGAGTTGATTTTGTAAAAAGTTGCATGTGGCTAACAACAACCAAGAGATGTTCTTTAAATAAAAAGGAAAGACTCTTAATATTTCTTGCTGATGAACCATTAATTCTGCTCAGTCAGGATCTCAAATTTCTTCTTTCAGTTTTACATTTCCTCTTAAGAAGCAAAGGAGAAGTATTATTTCAGCCAGCATGCAGGTTATGATGTAGAATCATGTGGAATTAAAGCTTTGTGGGTTGGAAGAATTTTCTTATTCTGAAACTACGTCTGCAGAACTATCCATTGACCTTTGTTTTTCTTAGAAAATATATGTGCGTGGTAACAAAAGTAAAGCTGAGGGATTTGAAAATGTCACAATAACAGAGCAACAAAGAGCCCCCCCATACACACACACACACACACTCCATATAAATATATTTATATTTGAAATATCCATTTTCTGACCAGCCACCACCAAGAACAGTTTGAATTTCAGTGAGTCCATGATGAAGACCTTTTGGTACTCTTGTTTTGAAAAGTAGAAAAGAAACACTTTTTACCGCTTGATGCATACATTATAAACAGCATTCACTCTTATAAAGTGGTTTGCATTCCAACAATATCGTATCTCAGCTGTTCAATTTTTATTATATCATCCAGACTTCATAGATATATAACTTACTAATATTGAATGCAGACCCTTCAGAAGACAGCTGTTTTTGTTCTTAATAGGTGAGTGTTTTAAAACTATCCCAAGTAGTGCTTTGTGTAGCACATAACCCATCTGAATTTACAAACCCTTCAGATCTGAAACAGCAGTGGCCAATATGCATATTTGCATCCAGGAGGCTGGAGCAGGAGTGGGAGGAAGGAGCCTGGCACATGTATCATCTCCAAACCCCTTTGAAAGAAATCCACACAAAAGATAACAAGTATCAGAGGGGTAGCCGTGTTAGTCTGAATCTGCAAAAGCGGTGAGGAGTCCTGTGGCACCTTATAGACTAACTGAAGTGTAGGAGCGTAAGCTTTCGTGGGCAAAGACCCACTTCGTCAGATACATGTCCCATGAATCTGACGAAGTGGGTCTTTGCCCACAAAAGCTTATGTTCCTACACAAAAGTGGCGAGGAGTCCTGTGGCACCTTATAGACTAACTGAAGTGTAGGAGCATAAGCTTTCATGGGCAAAGACCCATGATCAGATGCATCTGACGAAGTGGGTCTTTGCCCACAAAAGCTTATGTTCCTACACTTCAGTTAGTCTATAAGGTGCCACAGGACTCCTCGCCACTTTTACAAAAGATAACGCAGCCTGTTCCATTCCAAGTGACGTCCTTCTGTGGTTGATTCTAAGCACAGCTGCTGGTTTGGGACTCCCTGGCAGCATGGTTCATTGCTCCTCAGAGCAGGAAGGAGGACTGTGGCCTACAGAGCCAGTTATGGGTTTGTGTGATTTGTCACGGTGTGATTTGTCTTGGACTCCTGTGGCTCCCCCAACAACCACAAGGTTCCATGTAGGCCAGTGGTCACCAGCCAGTAGACTGGGATCTTTTGGTAGATCCTGGAGCCTCTGACAGGTGATCTTGACTGATTTGGCCCAGAGGCTATCAAGTGTGGGGTACTTCAACTGCCCTTTCCCCCAGTGCCATGCTACCCCTGCCCTCTGCCTTGGTGCTACTCCCCTGGGTGCCTCCTGCTTGCTGTGCAGAGTGAGGGAGTAAGAAAAGGGGGGTGCTGGTAATAGGGTGCCCCCCTCTAGTCCATCTCCACAGAATGAGCACGGTGGGGCCTTGGAAAAGGAGGTAGGGTAAGGGTTTTGGTGGTTGACATACATCCTGGATTGACTTAAATTCAAAAAGTGATTTTGTGCTTAACAAGTTGGAGACCACTGTAAGCAAATGTCATTGTAAGCAAATGCTTCCCCTACAGAAGAATGAGTTGGAATGAAGGAACCCCAGACTGTTTTCCTCCTCTGAGGCCTTCTTATTGATATTCCAATGGGAGAGGAAGATGCAAGCTCTATTTTTTTAAAATGCATACTCTAGTTACTGTGCAATTCTCACAGGATTATTATATAGCTCTATTATATAGCTCTTATTCTTAATAATAACACTGTACCCTGTGGGGCACAGATACCATTATTGCTCCAACTCGCACTGGAGTATTTTGTGTGGCTGCTTTTACTCCTCTCAGTTATTGGTACAGGTAGGTATGGGTTCAATGATCACTCTGTGATTAAGGAGCTTGCAAGAGATCTGCATTATTCAGTG